TTTAACCTTAGCACAGCTAAAACCAGGCTCGCTCGGCCTGACTTGCTCCCACTTCCCATCCCCTCTTCCCCCGGCTGCGGGTGCCCACCGCCTCGCCCCTTCCTCCCACATGCAGGGCTCCCATGAGACTTCCCTCCCCAAGTCCAGGTTCATGTCCAGCCCAGGTCGACACCCCCTTCTACCAGAAGCCTCGAAAAGTGACGAGTGGGCTGAGCGCCACCCGCCTCCCACCCTCCTCCCCTTCTGCTCGGCCACCCCAGGCGCCAGCCGGGGCGGAGGCGGGAGCGCAGCAGCGGGCCGCCACTCCACAGCATGCAGTGCGCTGCCAGCCATGGCGTGACAAGGACCTCACAGTGGGTTGAAAACCCGCCTGGGACGCCAGCCTCTTGACTCTGAGGTGGCTCCACAGGAATAGGGGTCCTGGGGGCTCCGCCCAGGAGGGCGCGGGGAGGGGTGTGGGAGTCGGCCGGGCGCGCACTCACTTGCCCAGGAAGCACTTGGGCACGGTGCTCAGCTTCCGGCGCCGGTCCTTGATGAGGTTCACCTTCTTGCTCATCATGAGGTGGTACAGCTTCTCCCCCTTCTCCGCAATCATGACGTAGGCGTCGCGCTCCATGCCCAGCTTCAGGCCTGCACGGGGACAGAGCGGAGCAGCCCGCAGCTCCTGAAAACTGCCCCACCAGCCCCACCGCGACCGCCCCAGGGCAGCCATGAGCACTTCCTGTCGGCCACCGGGGCTCCAGACACTGCCATGCAGCCCTCACAGGCTCCACGTCACACGGCAGGTCCAGCCCTCACCCCGGAGCCAGCTCCACAGCCAGGTCCCCCCAGCCCCAGGTGCGGTTCCAACTGCAGAGGCCGTCAGGGAGCCCGGAGCCCTCTGCACTCCAGCCTGGGCTGCGAGCTGGCCGACCCTCCAAACTGACCTTCCTCCCTGCACACCGTCCGGTCTGGACAGCAGCAAGGGCAAGCAACAATGGCAAACGCCTTCGCAGTGGGACGACACGCAATGGGTCCCTCACAAGAACCTGGAACCATGACAGGAACCAGGACTGTCCCCAGGTCACACTGAGGCCCAAGGAAGTTAGGTTCTCAGTCCGACGGCCCAACAAGAAAGGGCGGAACCAGGATTTTGATCCAGGAAGTGGGCTCCAGACCTGGCTCCTGACCACAACACCAGCCTGTGCACCAGCCCAATTCCAATGACCAGGGCCCCTTGGGCCCCACCCTACCCATGACCATGGACCCCCAGTGCCGGCCACAGCACCCCCCCAGGCCTGCCACAGCCACCCTGGTCAGTTTCAGAGGTCACATCCTGGCCCAACAAGGGCCAAGCCCTGTGGTTCACTGGGTCTTTAATGTTTTGATGCAAACTCAACGTTGGAAATACCTCCCGATGGTCCAGGTGTCTCCTGGAGAAGAGGTGCCCACAGCAGTGGCCATGTTGCCCCCTCCCCAGAGGTGACAGTGACCAGTGCCTGGCTGCAGGTGGAGGGCAGTGGAGCCTGAACCTGGCGCCACGCGGAACGCAGACCCGAGGGCCTTCCTTGCCCATCGACTAACACTGGAGAGTGGGATGCAGGGGTCAGGGTTGGGCCAGTCAGACTCTGAGCCGGGGCAAGTGGAGGGCCCCTGGCTGCTCCTGGGTCCAGGGGAAGACCAGCTGGGCAGAGAGTCAAGGGACAGCTGTCCACCTCGCCACGGCAACAGCAGGAAACAGGCGGGGACAGAGGCCGGCCCCTACTCTGCACACCTGGCATTGGGGGGTCTGGGACCACGTGTCGGACTCCCCAGGTCCTCAAGTGCAAGGTCTCACGCAGCAGGGTCACAGCCCTGCCCAGGAGCGACTGCCTTCCACAGAGGAGGACACAGGGGCCTGGGAAGCTGAAGCCTTTCGCCAGACACGGGGCCCCTTCCCAGCCCGGGGGGCCTCTGCCCACAGCTCAGCACCCCCTAGTTCAGAGCACACACCCCACACCCCATCACTGCCAGCCCTGGGGTCCCTTCTGTGACCCGACCTGCCTCGGAGTCCCTGTGCCCAGGGGGTTCCCGACCACGCTCAAGGGAGAGGGCCTCTCCCAGACCCTCATCCAGCGGACACCAACAAGAAAGCACAGGCACAGTGAGCGGCAGGGGAGGGGCGTCCTGGGGGGACGGGGCAGCCCCATCACCTCCACCCCAGGCACCAAGTCCCTGCACAGTCCCGTGGCTCCCGCCAGCTCCTGCGTCTCGGAGCGCGGAGCTTTCTGGAGAGGACCCTTGGCCCCTCCTCGGCCACTCTGGCCTGCAGAGCCCTGCGCGGCCCAGGCCCCTGGAGCCCAGAGCCGCCAGGAGGGCCCCGCACTCACTCTCGCGCTGCTCCCGCTCGCGGATGATGGCGTCCAGCCACTTCTGCTTCTCCTCGGCCGTCTTGGCCATGCACACGAACCACTTGTTCTTGGCGGTGTTGTGGATCTTCCAGCCGTTGGTGACCGTATAGCCGTTGCTGTGGTAGTCGGCTGGCAGGGACAGGTGGCAGAGTGGGTCATGTGACTCCGGACGTCCCAATAGGGCCAGGTGGGGACTGTTCTTCACTCCCGCTCAGAGGGTCAGGGCCAGCAGCAGGGGCAGGACCCAGAGCTGGACATTCGCCTTTGGAACAACCCTTTCCTGGCTGCTCTCTGGGGGCAAGGAAGACCTTCCTCAAAGACCCCTCAGCTCCTCAATGACACGGGACCTCGTGCAGGCGCGCAGACGGAGTGGCAGGGGACACCTGTCAGGAGCCCAGGGAGCCTGCCAGCCTCTCTCCGTGCTACTTGGGGACTAGTACAGCCCCAAGGCCAAGGGCAGGGCCTTGAGGTGAACCAGGACACTCCTGCAGTGGACACCACCCAGCCACGGAAGGCAACGTGTGCCGAGAGCCGCGGCAGGGGCAGCAGGGACCCTCCGCAGGCAGTGGCACAACCTGTGGCTAGACAGCTGTGGCACTGCGCATGACCGAGTATGTCCAGAGCCTCTTCAACAGGCACATCCACCTAGTGAGCTCGAGAGCACCGGGATTTTACTTAAAATGCTCAGTAAGGAAGTCACAGTGGGGGATGTTTAAACAGCAAAGAAATGGTCATCACAGAGTCCAGCTGAGGCCCCTCCTGGGCCGGCAGCGCCCTGCGGGAAGGACGAAGGACGGGGCGCTGCCTTCTCTCGGTGGACGCCTCACGCCCCGGGGGCTCACTCGGGTACCTGCCCACCAGGCACTGTCTGTAGGCAGGTCACACATCACGGTAAAAGGGAAAACTTCAATGCCACAGAGTCGTGTGGGCAGGCGGGACGGGCCGGGCTGAGCGCGGCAGGCCTACCTGTCCCGTCTTCCACGTTCTCCACCTCCATGACCTCGGTGTTGATTCGGCCCCTGAAGATGTACAGGGAGCCATTCATGGATTTGGTCCTCTTGGTGGACTTCTTGCTCCCAGTGACCCTGAAAAAGTTGGGAAACCAGTGTCCCCTGAGGGAGAGAGCAACACAGAAGGACGCGCGGGACAGAGCGGGGTCCGGCGAGGATGGTCGGCCGGTGGGCAGTGGCTTAGGCCAGCCGTCGTCCCCCATCACAGTTTTCTCATCAGAGAAGCAGGCTTAGAGCCTTGCTGACCTCTCAGGGCACTTCCCAGATAATAGGAGACGGCGTGAGAGGCCAGCGAGAAGCGACAGAAACCCAATCTCCTTGACCAGCAAGTGGGAGGGGCCCACGGGGCTCCCAACAAGCACTTCCTGAAAAAAGGCCAGAATGGAGGAGAGCTTGGGGTAGGCGATCAGCTGCCCACCCGCCCGCCGCCCGCCCACCCACCCATCCATCCACCTACCGATCCATCCATCTACCCACCCACCCACTATCCACCCACCATCCCCTATCCACCCACCATCCACCCACCTATCAGTTCATCCATCCACCCACCCTCCCATCATCCATCCATTCACCTACCAACCCTTCCACCCATCCACCCTCCCACTCATCTAACCACCTATCAGTTCATCCATCCACCCACCCATCCACCCACCCTCCCATCTATCCACCCATCATCCATCTGTCCACCCACCTACCTACCCGCCAGTCCATCCATCTAGCTACCCGCCAGTCCATCCATCCATCCATCCATCCATCCATCCATCAACCCACCCATCTTACCCACCCACCATCTTCCTAGCAGTCCGTCCGCCCACCCACCACTCATTCATTCACTCGGGTCAATTCCGCTGCTCAGTGGCTCAATCCTGCTGCAATCTGACAGTTGGTGTCCCTCCAAATTCCTATGCTGAGCCCTGAGCACTGAAGCTCTGGTATTAGGAGGTGGGGCCGTTGGACGGTCTCGGGATGGAGGCAGGGCTCTCGTGACTGGGATCAGTGACTGTAAAAGAGGCCTCACCCCTTTGCGGGACAGCTGCCTCGGCCGTCCACCCTCCGAGGACACAAGAAGGCCCCATGTGGGTGGCAGACAGCAAGCCCTGTGGGGCAGACCTGGTGCTCTGCACAAGCCTCCCCAGCCCTGACCCGTTTCTGTCTCTGCCTCCAGTGTGCACTCACCACCCGCTGCTCACTCACACCCTCCACGCAGCACAAGAGGTCGCAGCCAGAAGAGAAGGACGGCAGGTGAGCAGGTGAGAGGGAGAGGACTCAGCCTGGATGGAGCTCCAGGGCGCTGCCTCCCCGCCCTCAGGCTCAGACAGACACACGGCTCCTGGGTCTCAAGCTGCTGCTCTCAGGGCAGGAAACCCCTAGGTCCTCGGGCCACGAGCTGCAGGCCTGGCCCTCAGGGGTTCCTGAGGGTGACTGGTGTGTGTGTGTGGGGGTGTGTGTGGGGGGTGTGTGTGGGGGTGTGGGTGGGGGGGGTGGGGGGGGGGTGTGTGAGGTGGGTGTGTGCACATGCACCCAAATGGGACGCCCTCCGGGTCTCTAGAGAACCTGCTGCAAGTCTCGGTGTCACCTACAGGGATGTGCACACCCAAGAGAGGACACACATTCCACTCCACGCCCCAGCCACAGGCCACGCACACTGTGTACACCTGCACTGTGCACGCGTTGCTCACTGACCCTGTGAAACGAGGCCAGCGGCGGGCAGTGACGGACTCCCCATGCTCCTGACTGCGACACACTAAGCAGACAGCTGGCATGCAGCCGTGAGCCCTCCGGGCCGCAGTTCCCCCTGGGCGATTCACAGGGTGGGCTTTTAAAAGCCTCCTGCTTTTTTGGGGTGGTGGGAGCTGGGGATTGAACCCAGGGGTGCCGATCACTGAGCCCCAGCCCAGGCCTTTTTATATTTTATTTAGAGGCAGGACCTCCCGAGCTGCGCAGGGCCTCGCTGAGTTCTGAGGATGGTCTGAACGGTCCCCTTTGCCCCGCCCTCGGAGCTCCCTGCTCTTCCTGGAGCCCAGGCGGGAGGGGACGCACAGCACAGTGTTTGTGAGGGGTGGTGTGCATGCTCGGGGCTGGGGTGAACAGGTGGGAGGAGGGGGGGTGGCTGGATGGAGCGGGTGGGAAACGGCTGCTTGAGGCGCTTCCTGTGGCCACACCAGTGGGGCTGGGGCTCCCCTCACCACTGCCCAATCCCCAGGCCCCCGGGGTTCCACTCTCTACTCCCCATCAGAGGCGGGCTCACTGCCTGATGCCAGGCTCTCGGCAGGCAGGTGTGCACAGCCCTCCAGCCTCAGGGAAGCAGCCAGGTGCCTGCGGGGACTCGCGGGACACTGCCTGTCTGGGACGTGGGTGGGGGAGGTCTCCGACACAGTGCTCTGAGCTCCTTCAGAATTAGAGGCTCAACCAGGCCCAGGGGAGCACACCTGTAACCCCAGCGGCTCGGGAGGCTGAGGCAGGAGGATCACAAGTTCAAGGCCAGCCTCTGCAACTTATCGAGGCCCCAAGCAACTCAGCGAGACGCTGTCTCTAAATAAAATATAAAAACTGAGGGGTGCTGAGGGCGACCTGCACCCCAAGTTTTCAAACCGACTTACTGTTTTATGTATATGTGTGTATATGTGTGCACACGTGTATGTACATATATAGTTATGACTAAATATCACACTATATTTGTGACTACGTTGTTGAATAAAGGCACTAGTTAAATTCATTTTATAACAGCGTATGTGGCGCTCACTATGGATTTAGAGCAAACCCCTCAAGTCACGGAAGAAGTCCAAGACATCACCTCAGGGAAGCAGCAGGTTGGCCCTGCCCCGCCTCCTGGCCCACGGGGGCAGCCAAGGCGCCAGCCTCCCCAGCAAGTCACCTGGACTTCCGCTTGCAGTAGACCAGGAGGTTGTCGAACAGGAAGAAGGCCCTTTCCTGGATGTTACCCGCAGAGATTTTCAACAAAGTCCCCTGCAGGAGGAGCTGGGTGCAGATGTCCGTGAGGTTGGAGCCCTGGGAGAGGAAGGGCAGGCAGAGGATGAGCAGGCCAATCCAGGAGAGCAGCGGGCACAGACTTCCCTTCCCGCCTCCCCCTGCACCCCAAAGGAGCCTACTGCACCCACAGCAGATGGACACCAGCACGCTCTGGTGGGAGCTTCCACCTGCGGGCGAGCAGCACAGCCTGGAAGGGGCTGGGAGACCGAGGGAGCTCAGTGCTCAAGGGGGCCCACTGGGGTGCTGGGCTGGGCCGCCTGCCCACCGACAGCTCGTCCTTCTCCCCACAGGAGTGCCACCTGCATAAGCATATGCCACTGTATGCCCAGCACCCACAACTCCCCAGTACACAGTAGGTGCTCAATAAGGGCTTGCAGAGCAGATGAACACGGCATGGACACCACCAGGCCCAGGGTGGTGCGGGCAGTCACTCCAGCCACAGCTGTGTGTGGGGACGGGCATGGACGCTGGACCCCGCCAGCCCTCCCTGCTGAGTGACGGGAGCGTGAAGCTTCCTGCACATCGGGAGGCCCAGGTGGCATGGCTGGGGACGGTGTCGGGGTGCGGGGCAGCGAGCTGGCCTTGGACAGGCTGAGGGAGGGACGGGCGGGCGCACCTGGGAGGAGTCCTAAGCGGGACCTCGGGCTTGTGGAGCCCCGAGAAGAGCGGCCAGGGCAGAGAGCCGCGTGCTGCCTGGGGCAGCTGGAAAGGCCCGTGGACACAGGAGGCCAGCTGAGGGCCCGGGTCCTGGCCCTCCTCCTGCCCCCTGGGGATGCACACCGCAGCCTCCCTTGCACCAGGCACGGTCACGTGGTGGTGCCAAGTCCAGGGGCCTCGCTGCCTGGGGATGCCTGCCTCCTGCGCCCTCTTTTCCAAGGCTGGCAGCCCTGGGGCAGGAGGGCGGTGGCAGGTGGGGCTGGAGGGACCTGCCCACCCAACCTCTCTGCAGCTCCCTGGAGCCAGCACCTGTCCTCCAGCTGTCACCAGGTGGACAGCAGGGCCCCTGACGTCGAGGCTCGGGAATATGCTGCAAAGGTCCTGCGGCAGACCAGCGGGCTCCACCAAGGGAGGGACGAGACACCTCACCGTCCCTGCCTGGAGATGAGCCGGGGAGGGAGGGCCACTCAGACTCCCTGGGCACGCGCTCAGCCAGGAACCGACGGGAGCTGGCATCAGGGAGACCTGCTGACCCGGGACTCTGAGACCCAGTCGGGGAACGGGCTCTACATGGCCAGCCACAGGCTCCCCCCTGCTGGGTGGTCAGGCTCCCCATGCCCGGGGCCAGCCAGGTGCAGCCAACCCACTCACAGGGGTGCCAGAGACCACTGTCCTGGGACACCACTGGCTCGTGGTCCAGGCTGTGGGTCCAGGACGGGGCTGGTGGGCTCCTACCCTTGGGGGGGCACACGGCCCTGGGCACAGGCACCCTGCAGCCTGGTCTGTTTCCCTGAGTTTTATTTTCATTTTTTAATTTACTTGCAGTACTGGGGATTGAGCCCAGGGGCACCTCACCCCCGATTTATGTCCCCAGCCCTTTTAATCTTTTATTTCAAGACAAGGTCTGCCCAGGCTGGCCTTGAACTTGCCACCGTCCTGCCTCAGCCCCCCGCCGTCACTAGGATCACAGGCCTCGTCGCACGGGGCCTGCAGGCAGGTAGGTCTCTGATGGCCCCCAGGAGGGGGGTGCCTACTGCACCCCTACTTCAGAGCTGCCGCGGAGCCGTCCTCACCAACAGGAAGGGACCAGGCTCCGTCAACGGCCGTGGCCAGCACAGGGCAGCCAGCGGCCTCCTCCTTGCCCTGCCCTGCCCCACTCACCCTGCTGGGTCCCTTCCAGGCTCCAGAGGGCCTGGTACCTGGCCCACACAGAGCCCCCGGGTCACGCAGCCCTGGACCTGCCTGTGGCCAAGGCCACCTCGGGGGCCTGAGAGAAGAACGCTCAGCTCAGGAAGCTGCCTCGCGGCCTGGCCAAGGGCATCAGCAAAGCGCCCTCCCGGCCGGGTGCCCCCCGCCAGCCCTGCAGGCCCCCTGGGAGGCTGAGCCCAGGCACAGCTGCTCCTAAGGGTCCCACACGCAGGTGGGGCCAAGCGCCAAGGTGCCCACCGGTCAGGGCAACACCCATCCCAGAGGCCTCCCCCCAACACACAGCCCCAACCGAGCTGCACCGCCACGTTTGGTGATGACCAAGCCAGACGTCAAAGGCCCAGGCGGAGGCCAGCGTGGCCCGTGGTGAAGTGGGGACGAGCATGAGCAGCTGTCCCCACCCTTCACTGGCCTTGTCCTGCGCCCTGGTTCCCTCCTCCCCATCCCAAGCTGGCCAGCTGACTACCCCCTGCCCGGGGCGTCCAGGGCCAGCAAGGACGCTTCCCTCTCACTGAGAACACGTGTGTCCCCTGGGTCACCGTGAGCCTCCTGCAAAGGTCCCTCCCCGGGGCCTGCATCTGGGGGCCCTTCTGCAGGGGTGGCCAGGGGCAGCAGCCCCAGGCCAAGCTCGGGAGGCTCTCACCCAGGAAGGGGCCCCGCGCACCAGCCCCACACCCAGCCGAGCCAGGGCACGCGCTCTGAGGGCACCCAGCCCAGCCCCGGCCACCCGCAAGGGAGGCCCCCGCTGCCCAGGGCCTCCAGAGGAGGAAGCCAGGTGGGGAGCCCCGGGCGGGGCCTGCCGCTCCTCCCAGGGACCACCACCCGCTTCCACTTCCTCACCGGTCAGGACTGGGGACTGGGGACTGGGGACAGGCAGCTGGTTTTAATGAGGCCAGTCTCACGACTAAAAGGGGCAGCGGCTCAGGAAGGGGCCAGTGAGTCAGCGATGGAGAGCAAACCAACCCCAGCCCACACCAACCCGAGGACGGTGGCCGGGAGGGGACCCAGCGGCCAGATCCCAGGAGCACCCACCCCATCTGATCAGAGCAGCACCAGGGCAGGCGGAAGACCAGCAGGCGGCAGGGCGTCACGTGAGCCACGGCCGGCCAGGCTGTCCCCAGGCAGGACCAGGTACCGGCAGGCACCACTGCTCGCAGCTTCGCCAGCCAGCAGGACCGTCCACATGAACCTGCGCCTTCACGACTCACCTGAGGAGCCCTCCTTCCTGCAGAAAGCCCCTCCATGTCTCCAGGGAGCACTCGGCCCCCTCGCCCCCCTCAGAGCGACACGAGAGTCACCTCAGAGACACCGCTCAGAGGAACACCCAGGAGGAAAGGGGCCCAGGGCGCTCTGCAGGTCACAGTCTGGGCCTCAGAACCAAGTCCCTGCGCCTCACTGTCCACATCCGGAAAACCAGGACAGTAAGAGTACCGTCCCTGTCGCATTGGGAGCATGCAGTAGGTGCTCAATACTGGAGCAGCTCTCACTGAGGTCAAGTGCCTTCCTAACTGCATCCAGAAGCAGTGATCACACAAGGGCCCCTGAGCCCCCGAAGGGTGGATTTTCAGGGGCAGGAAGGGCTTGAGGCTTTCTCTCCTGTCTCCTCAGGTTCCCATGATGCTTCTGGAAATCACCTTGCCCTGGCGTCCCAGGAGCCTGCCCAATGTCCCTGCAATGGAGCCCACCTGAGAAAGTGGCCAGGAGACTCTTGATCTTCCAGAAAGACCGTCACTTCCCCCCTTTTTGACAATGAGTGTTCGGTAACTTAGGTGTGCTGCTCTTTTTACCTTGGCTGTCAGGAAGCTCTAAGCCCAAACAGACAGCATCTTAAGTGAAACAACTCTATTTGTTCTGGAAAATGACCATGTGACCCACTCCTGGCCAATGAGATGAAAGGAAGATTTTTTTTCTGTCTTTTGAAAAATACTTTCTCCCACCGGGGCCTCTCGCTGTCCAGGCCAGGCCACCTCCTCCAGCTTTGAACCCACAACCTTCACGGAGCCACACGGGAAAGACCAGGGCGCTCTCAGAGCTCGGGCTGTGACAGCACGAGGCCGAGGCGGAATCCTCAGAAAGGGGCGCTGATGGCCAACCTGAGCAGCAGCAGGTCAGCGGCAGGGAGCAGGCGGAGGGAGGCATCGTGGGCAGGGAGGGCAGAGGGTCAGTCACTGCAGGGCCGGAGAGCCGAATGCAGGAGACCCGCAGGACACCCAGGTCCCAGGGGCACGGCCAGGGGGTGAAGCCATCAGAGCCCGGCCTGTCCGTGTGGCACTCACAGGGACGCTGCCCAGGCGTGTCTGGACACCCGGCAGGCCACCTGCAAAGCTGTCCCAGGCCTGGGGTGCCCACTGCCACCCCGACTCCAGGAGCTGGGACCTGGGCCCTGGGCCCTCGGCTAGCGCCACCCCAGCAGCCTTGGCCGCGTGGTCACCCAAACAGCAGCGGGCGGCCTCCACCCTCCAGAGCTCAAGCAGCTGGGTCAGATCTCGGCCGAACCCCAAACCCCGCCCCAAACCCCAGCTGCAAGGGAGTCTGGGAAAGGGGCTCTGTCCTCCACCCTCCCTGGCAGGAGCCCCGCAGAAGGAGGGCAGGGCCACGCAGGTGCCGTGCCGCGGCGCCGGCTGCCCCAGCGCGGGAAGGGACACTAGAGCCCTCAGGCAGCAAGAGCCACCAGCCGGGGACCCCAGGGCCTGCAGACCCGGAAGGCCTCGCCCAGTGACCTGCGCCTGACCCACACTCGACTGGGCTGACCACGTCCCCCACAGCCTCCGGGAACTTCCCATCGCGCGGGGAAGGCCGGGTGGAGATCCTGGGAACCACGGGCCAGCACCACGGAGCACCGCCACACGGCAGCTGAAGACGAGGCTCTGGAGTCACCAGCAGGAAGTGCCAGCCAGAGCCCTGTCCTGCAGTGGACCCTGGCTCCAGGCCCACAGGTAAGTGGGGAGCTGGGGGCTGCGCAGGATCAGAGGCTCAGCAGCTGCTGCCGTGGGACACTGACACCCAGCGTCACCAGTTTTTCAAGAGAAACTTCTGATCTGAATTACTTGGGTTTAATTGGGGAAAAGCTAAGCAGTTTTCTTACAAGCAGAACACGGGGCCCCGCCTGCCCCGGGCTCCAGTTCACCCTGCAGCTGTGCCCTCCCGGCCCCTCCAGGCAGGACCCCGCCACCGCACGCACCTCCCAGCCCTCGATGTGGGACTGCAGCTGCTCCAGGGCTTCCAGCTTCTCCATCTGCCGCTTGGTCTCGTTGATGTTGGAGCAAACGGTCTTCATGGCCTGCAGGGCGCTCTGTACCGCCGGGTGGTCGGGGTGCTTGCCCGGGGTCCTCTTGGCCAGCTCCTGGGCAGGGCAGAGGCAGGAGGAGACGTCAGTGGGGGCCTAGCGGGGCCGGCGTGACCTGGGCTGGGGACGTCACTCGTGCACTCCTAGAAAGGCCTCCCAAGCATCTCCTCGATGGCAGGCAGAGAGCTAGGGTCTGAGATGAACCCCCTCGCCTGGTGGACGGTACGTCCTAGTGGAGCAGTCACGGACAGAACCCAGCTCCAAGCAGGGACACACAAGACCAAGCAGACCAGGGCTGGGGCAGGTTACTTCAAACAGGGAGGTCAGGGGGACCCTCGAGGAGCTCACATCCGAGCAGCCACGGGCTGAAGTGAGGGGACCTGTAATAATATGAGGGAGGAGTGTCAGGGCAGAGGGACCAGCACGTGCAAGGGACCTGGGGCAGGGGCACGAGTGGTATAAAACAAGCACAGCGAGGAGCCAGTGCCTCTGGAGGAGGACAGACAGACGCAGAGACAGGAGAAGGGCAAGTCACGGAGGTGGCCACGGATCCTGCCCTAGCCCCAGTTTTCTTAGTGAAACGGGCATAAAACATGTCTTGGGGCTGGGGATGCAGCTCAGTGGCGCAGGGTTTGCCCAGCATGCACGAGGCCCTGGGTTCCATCCCCAGCACCGCAAGATACCCCTAGCCTCGGGGACTCGAGATGGGCGTGTGAGGCTCACCCCAGCCACCCGCCCCTTCTGTCAGCTCAGCCCCCACCTCAGGCACAGGCTGGGACGCGCGGGACGCCAGGCCAGTCTGGATCACAGGCGGGGCACTGCTGGGCATGGTGGGGGACTCAGGGGCAGGGACGTGCCAGGCCCCTGCCAGCCCGCCAGCCCGCCCGCCCGCCCTCTGGACGGCACCAGCACAGGAAGTTCCCTTCAGCAAGTGCCCAGACGCGTGCCCAGCCTGTCCACCGGCCCCTCTGTCTCTGGAAGGCTCCAGACCAGCTCTCTCGGGCCAGCTCTGCCCTGCTTCTGGGGGAGCCCCTGGGAGCTGGGGCCAGCCATGGCCCTCCTGAGCCTCGGCTTCCCCGTTGCACACCAGCAACAAGGGACGCTGGTGATGACGGTGGCGAAGGCTTCACCCGGGGCTCGAGGCAGGTCCTGCTGTGGCCTCCCCGAGCAGCCGCAGAGCGCAGGCCCAGCAAGAGGACAGGGCCTCCGAGGAGAAAGACGGGGGGTGTGGACTGGGACATCAGCAGGCGAATAGATGCCGAAAGCATTGTGCGCATACAGCAAGTGCTCAACGCATGCAGCTCTCAGCACCCCTGGTGTCTGTAAGGAGACCTGCACCATGAGCCCCCGTCGCCCCACAGGGCTGCCGCTGAGCATCCTGCCGAACACCCACTGCAAAGCCCCGGCCACTTGCCACCCCTGGGCCGCCCAGAAATGAGCCCTGCTTCCCTGAGGACCGGCCCCTTCCCCAGGCCCAGACGCCTGTGCCCAGGACCCCGGGGTCCACTGAGCTCCGCCCAGGCCCAGGGCTGTGTCCGTGGGAGGGGAGGTGGAGGTGCCCACAGGGGAGCACGCAAACTCCTGCCGCCCAGCCGACCCTCACGTCGACCCCGCCAGGTGGGCCTGCTGTTACCCTCAGCTATCAGACGCAAGAACAGAGGCACAGAGAGGTCGGGTCAGCTGTCCAAGGTCACACAACAGATCATGAGCCCAACCAGTCTGGCCCCAGAGTTGGCATTTTGAGTCCCTGTGCTGTTTATGACCTTTTAAACGGTTTCCTAGAAATGCCTTCCTCTCAAATCAACGCCTGCCTCACAGCACGGACGGCGACTAGCACCTCTGACACAAGTAATGAATCATTTACGTAGCTGCACCCGGCAGGGGAGGGGGGAGGGACGTGCTGGGGGGGGTAGGGACGTGAGGGGGTGCATGGGAGGAGGGACTGGGGGGGCGCAGAGGAGGGACGTGCCGGGGCGCAGGGCCTCTGAGGACAGGCCTAGCAGTGGAGCTGGACGCTGCGGGAAAGCGCTCGGAAGGGGAGGACTTGGAGCGGAGGCCACGAGGCCGCAGGGCAGGGAAGGAGGGAGGTGGACGATGAAGTGGGACGAGCCTCGGAGGCCAGGGGCACCCAGTGCCATCCAGGAGCACGGGGAGGTGACAGGGCTACAGGGCTGTGAATGAGGCCACACCATCCACCTGTCCCCTTCAGGGACCCTCTGGTGGCTGAGAGGACACAGGTGCAGAGTGCACAGAGGGCAGGAGACAGTCAACGGCCACGGCAGGTGTCCGGCAGGAGACAGAGGTGGCCTGGGAGGGAGCCCCTCTGCCCAAGGCCCTGTGGAGCCCACAGCCCGCTGCAGGTACGTCCACGATCAGGCACACCAGAAGGCCAGGACCTGGTGGTCATCACTGGTCACCTGTCCATGTCCCCAAAGCCACCCCGTCACACGTCTGCAGATGAGCAGCTCTGAGCGTCTGGACGTGAGGCCCAAGAGGTCGGCCAGCTCCGGGTGAGTGGGGGTGGGCTGCAGGACGGTGGCAGCCACTGCCACCACGCCCATCCCAGACCCCAGAAGGGGACGCTGCAGTGACCCTCCGCCGACGGGCCCCCTCCAGGAGCCAACACCAGCTGTTAGTAAAAATGAGAAAAACGCCACTTCCCCTTTCTGTCTGGCTGTCCCTGCCTCTGCTCCTGCCTCCGGTCAGCACTGGGCTGGGGGAGAAACCAAGCAAGACGTGGCCAGGCCCGAGGCTGGCCAGAGCTGTGGGGGACGCTGGCTGTGTGGCCTCCATTTGCAGGGGAGCGCATCCGTGCCTCGGCTTTGCACATGCCACTTCCTCCCCCACACTCCTCCCTTTTCAAGCTCGTAAGAGGCACACGGTGCCGTAGATGGACAGTCCCAGAGAACTGGGATCCAGTACGAGACCTTACGTGTGGAGTCGGTTAGAGAGAACGGTCTTCCAACAAAGAGTGCCAAGACACTAGACACCAGGGCCAGCCGGCACCTGCCCACACCACACCCAACAGCCTACTCAAACGCAGCCCAAGCCTCAGCACAGCAGCTGGAAGTAGAGTCTGTGAGGAAAACACAGGAGTAGATCTGTGTGACCTCAGGTTTGGCAAAGTGTCCTCAGACAGGACGTCAAATACAACTAAAAAAGTGTCACCCTAGACTTCATCAAAATTAAAGACTTGAGTGCTTCCAAGGGTATTGTCAAGAAAGCGGGAAGACAACCTCGCACATTACGAACCTGAGAGGGTCTGGCGTCTAGCATATGTAAAGAGCATCTGCAACTGAACCAAAAACCACAAATAATGCTACTTAAAAATGAGCAACAGGTTTGAACAAGCTTTTCTCCACAGAAGACATACAAACAGACACCGAGCAGATGAAAAGGAGCCCAGGGTCACTCATCCCTGGAGAAATGCAAAACGAAGCCACGTGAGATCCCCTTTCACACCCACTAGAACAGACACAACCAGGAGAGGAGCAGTGACAGGGCAGGAAACAGAGACGTGGGGCCTCTGACCCTGCTGGGGGACCGAAAGGGCAGCGGCTCCCAAGTTCTTTTATTGATTATTTACGTGATTTGGGGGACAGCGGCTCACTGTGTTGCCCAGGCTGGTCTCAAACTCGTGGACTTATGTCTCCCACCTCTGCCCCCTGAGTGGCTAGAACGCGGGCATGTGTCACCACGCCCAGCTGCAGATGGGGAAGGACAGTTCCAAAGGGACACCTGGATCCATCTCCACCTGAAGCCATCCATCCGTGTGTTTCCCAGCTGGGGAAGGCCGTGCGTTTTTACACGGCCATTCTGAAGCATGTCTGCGTGTGCGTGTGCACACCTACACGTTCAGCCTGCGGAGCTCGTTTTTCCGTCTCTTGGACTGAGGCAGCCCTGACTGCTGCTGCCAGTGTCCAGGTGGGCGGACACAAAACACAGGAATCTCCAAGGCTCGCGGGAACTGGAACTAAACCAACAAAGGTCTAACAGGCAGAGGCAGGGAGGTGAGGAAGCTCCTGCCAGTTCAAAACCAAGGGAGCTGGAAGTCAAGTTCAGAGACGGCGGGCTCCACGTCCCAGCTGCAGCGCTGTGTGCACTCAGGGGCGGCCAAGGAGGGCCAAGGGGAGGGGACCGAGAAGGGCTCACTGAGCGCTTGCCCGTGACCCCGAGGTCCCAGCTGCTGTGTGCTCAGGGATCCGTCCTCACACCAAGGGGAGCTTTGTCACAGAAAGTGGCGTCTCCGGGAGCAGTGAGCTCCCTGTGGCTGGAGCAGTCCCCTCGCCTGGGCTCAGACGGCACCTCACAGCCTGGACCTCAAGGCCAGGGTCGAGGCTGGGCTCTGGGGAGGGGACGGTGGCTCCAGCTGGGACCTCACACAGGGACCTGCCTGGTGAAGCCATCTGCACATCTGTGAAATGGGACAACTGTCCCCTCCAAAGTCCTCTCCAGGGGAAGGAGGAACGTAAACAACAGGGACACAACAGTGACCAGCACCGCCATCGTCTCCATAGTAACGGGCGCTCACACTTGGTATCACCTCTGTGCAGCATAACTGAAGTCACCATGGTCATCGTAACTACAAGCATCTATTGAGCACCTTCTGCATACCCACCACGGTTCACAGTTAACTCCATCAAGTTGTCTCCTCTTGGAACCCCCAGTGGGGAGGGCCATCGTGTCCCCACCGACGTGTGAGGAGTCTGAGGCACACGCAGTAAAGGCTCCTGGCCAGGCCACAGGCAGACGGCAGGACGTGGACGCTGACACGTCCACGGTCCCTCCAGAACCCCGACGGCAGGGAGGGACACGCACGATCGGGCTCTGAGGACAGGAAGGCCCGGCGGGCCCAGGGGGCTTGGAAGACCCAGGCAGCAGGGGCACCGGCTGCAGGGGTCTGCAGGGGAGCGGGTGACCTTTCAGCATCCGCCACCCCCCGGGCGGCTTCCTGGCACCCAGCGAGGGCTTCCTGGAGGAGAGGATGTGGGCGGAGGGGCTCCCGCGGCTCCCGCCGGCGCCCCCACGGGCACGCTCCCCACTGGGCACAGCAGCCC